TAAAAGTAGTAAGATGTCTGCTTGCTTAAAAGGTGTTTTATAGGACAATGTCATGCCCACCCTATCGTCAGCCTCTTCGATCTCGACTTCGTAATCGTCTCATCCCAAGACTTGACTTCTCACTTGTGGACGACTCACCAGATTCACTTTCGTCACCGGCGACAACTACCGATTCCACAGCATCCTCGATGTCCCCACGGTATTCGAAGCAGACAACTCAAAGTAAAAATAGCCGAATGGTAAGATTTGTTTTGACTTTTAAATATTGCGCTACCTGAAACTATTTTCTCTTGCCATTTATTAGTAATAGCCTGACTGAATAAAGACACTGAATAATTATCCCATACATAACCTTTTGCTGTGTAAAGACATAAGAAATACATTTCCTCTTTCAAAAAGCGGTTGAGAATAATATTCAGGGCAATGTGATGTTTTTGTCACAGCCACTTCTTTTGCTTATAATCTTATATGATATTACAGATATCTGGTATGGCTAGTTCTGCCGAAGAAAGTTCGTAATTGATGCTGAAATAGCGAAATCTTCATTATCACCATGTAACAGATGCTATCTTTTCTTAAACATTCTCTTTAATTCACTTGTGATTGCATTTCGTGTCTGTTACCGGTAAAAAGTGCTTATGCTCTAAACGGTGTATTTAATATCCATTTTATTTCTATGTTTTTCTTGTTGTCATATATTACTCATGGGATTTATGAGGTAAAGAGTTTATTGGCGTGTCATATGTTTGTTTAATAATAACAAGTTTGTGTACGTACTCAACTAAATTTTAGAATAGAAACTAGTGCTTTTCCACAAAATCAATATCGTAATCGTTTTATATTGTCTCATATGACATCTATTCGATCATCAGTAATGCAAGTTCTCGTGTTTCACTTCTTTGCAATGATCGATTGCTTCTTATGAATTTAGATATACATATGGTTTTGTCTTGAATAATATTTTTGATAATAAAGTTGTTATTATGAATGTATTTATTTTTATGGAGTAAATTTGCTTTGGACTAAGATAGAACAGCGGGAAATCTCGAGGTACAAAAGAAATGCATAGCCGCTTGAATTTTTCAGTAGTTCTAATTTCTTGTTCCCATCAGTTTCTCATCCTCTTCCCAGCCATTAGCCCATTAATATGTTATTATCAAATTTGATTACCTTAATATTTGTTCTTTTTTGCATCAAGAAAGCGATTGCTCTTAAGTTTATTTTGCAATCAGAACGGTAAAAAGGTTCATAAATGATCATGTTGATGGTCTTACTTGCGCATTTTAGTGTTAGCAGGGCTAAAAGCTAATAAACGCACTATGAAAGTCCAATTTTGAAAAGACAAGGAGTGGTATTATTTGACAATGAGGCTGCGAGTTACTGTGACTTCTGTCGCAGTTAACTCACAGGTTATGCAAAAAAGCAGAAATCACAAAAACATTCTGGTATAGGAAGATGTACTATACCATCGCTAATTCTTTATCAAGAGCAAGTTCCATAGAATCGGAACCTTCAAAAAAAA